TTCGTCGTGATCATATCAGTGATCATATCAAGTAACGAAGGGGCCTCTTCCAAAATAGATCTCATAGACCTTATGCTAAGCAGCTTTTTTTGTATTGTATGCAATTCTCTTGATAAATAATACTTAAATGAAGAAAAGCTTAGCGCAAATCTGGCTTTCTTTAGACCTTATTCGATATGTGAATTACGGCGAAGCTTACACTAAGCAAAAGAAAAAAAAACACAAATGCTGATATTTTCCACATTTACTTTACGAAGCCTTCTATTATTTATGTGCAAAAGTGGAAAAAATCGACCATGCCCACACAAAGCGATATGGATATCAAATGAAACAACTTGAAGAGTAGATTCCAGAAAGCATAATGGCGGGAAAATGCGAGATTCGTCGCCTGCCAATTATAAATTCCTTACTTGTCTTCTTTTTAGTATTCAGATATCTATCATTTAATCATTTACCAGTAATTTCTTCAATAGCTCAGATAATTTTTGTTTCTTATACGAAAAAAATTTCAATTCTCTAACAAACGAATGCGAGTAATTTATGATCTCACTAAGGCTTGCAAAAGACACAAAAAAAAAAAAAAAATGGCTAAACTTTATATATATTTTTCTAAGGATCCATTTAATTAGCCGGATATTCTATTTTTTTTTTTTTTTTTTTTTTTTATGCTTAATTTCTGTTTACACAAAATGTCATAAAATAATTTTGCTTCGCAATTGCTATGATTGTCGGGCTACTTAACAAGCAATTCAAGTCTTATGTCGACCATTTATATGGGATCTAATAAAAACAATGTCAATAAAAATCTTCGTTTAAAATTTTATGAAAAATTTTATTATCATTTAATTAAATTATTAAAAAGTATTTTCTAACTTACCCTATGGATTGTCTCTTCGAAACTGTGCTGATGACCACCGTTGATTGTTTGAAAATGACGCAAACGGTCATTAGCAGCCTGTAACAGAGAGAAAAAAAGAGAATAAAAAAAAAAAAAGATAAAAAGTAATGATCAAAAAAAGAAAGAAAAAAAAGGGAGGGAAAAATTCTATTTAATCAAATAGAATAAACTTTTGCACACAAATCTACACACACACACAAACGAACATGAACACATATAAGCACAAAAATGCGCACACGTTCCTTCACTCATATACGGATAAGAGTTTATAGTTTTGAAAATCTACTTTTTATATACATCTATCTGCAAATGTGCAACTTTCCCTAATCATGCCTGTTTGCAATGCATGTGAAATGTTGATTTTATTCTTTTGAAAGGAATTTTTGTTAGAAATAAATTTTTTTGGCTTTTCGTCTTTTATTTTGCGAAAAGAGAAAGGAAAAATCTAAAGTTTTTCCTTTTTTCCTAAATACGTGACCGGATCACTAAATTGAAATTGTTTAAGTTTACGGTTACGTCTGCTATGTTTGTATATTATGTCATTCTTATCCCTTGAGTAGTATAGACGGACAGCAAAAAAAAAACAAAAAAAAAATGCTTAAGAAAATATTTAGTGGTTGAGAATATTAAAATGAAGAAAAAACAGATTAAGTTTCAAAAGCAAAAAAAAAGAAAAAATTAAAAAGAAAGCAAAAGAATTTGCTTACGTCGCAGCTTGCCGCACGCAGCAACTACGTCTCTTCTACACCATCTCACTCTGCATATATAATAAGAACTTTAATTATGTGGTTAAAATGATGTGTATTTTTGTTGTTGTTGTTGTTTTCTGCATAAAGGCAAATAGGGATTTTGCGTAGACACACCCGCATGAAAAAAAGGGGTAAAAAGATTTAGTAAAAATTTCCTGTTTTTTTTTGCTTTTTTTTTTTTCCTTTTTCTTTACTGTCCTTTGTGGTTTTTACAAATTTATATTTATTTCACTAAATTATAAAAATTATTTCGGTTGTCTTTTCGCTACTTTTGCCATACTTAAGCATTTGCGTGCTTTATCATTTACTGAAAGTTGCGTTCAGTGTTCTTAAGTGGTTAGAAGTGTACATGTGTACGCTTAAAGATTAAAAACAGGTTGTGTGCAAGAGTTGATTCTGGTTAATTAATAATGTTAAGTTTATTCGTATTTTTCGTATTTAGAAATTCTTTCGCTTTAAAAATATTTAAAGGCGTTTTCGAAGTTACTTCACTTTTACAAACAATTTGTATGCATGTATCCTAAAAGATTTTACACATTTATTATGAAAATTAAATATAAAATGCATTTTAATACAATCATTGAATTAAAGAGTGGTTTCCCTTAATAATTAATTAAAATTTATTATTATACTGCAGAGCATATGCGGCCCGAAGGTATACTAAATTTGTGCGGATGCATACAACAGGCAAAAGGACTTGAGATAGATTCACTTTTTATTGGACCGAATCGATATAAATTTGTCCGTCCGTCCTATGTCTTGTGCTCATCGCAGTGTGGGTCTCAATTTTTGGGATATATTGATGTATGAAGAAATTTGATATACCGACATGTATGTAAAAATCGTGAGAAATCCATCTTTCAGTTTTTTTTTTTTTTTTTTTATATATATATATATATATACTCCACACCACTTTTTGCGCCAATGTATGTTAAGCTAATGCGGATATATGCAACATCTAGAAAAACTTGAGATAAGTTCTGAAACCTCAATGTTCGTCTTTCTAGCTTTTTTCCTTGTCTTCAAAGATCGTATTTTTTGCGATATTTTAATGAAATTTGATAAGCTAATGTATTTTGGTTCAAGGATGAAATCTATTGAAAATGGTTCGGATATGTACCACTTTTTCGACCACTTCCCATATACGGTCTTATTTTGAAAATTTATTATATGAATAATTGTATTAGCCAAAGACCAACACTACGTTGGGTATTTAATGGTCCGCCACAATGTTTTTAGTTATTTTTTATAGGTAGCTGTGATATCTTAAAAAGTTTGTATAGCACGAACAAAGAGAAACTACTATGAAGACTAATACTATAGCTAAAAGGGAATTAGTTCGACCTTAATAAAATTTACTTTTTCCTTTTATTTTGTTTATCTTGTTTGAGAGAAAATTTTGGTCAAAGCCGTATATAACTTTCTTGCTTGTTGATATTTCAACCAACATAAAATTTCTATTGTACTGCAATTGTGATCGAACTTTTCATTGATTTTCATTAATGCATAAAACTTATTTCTTATATTTTTTCTATATAGATCGCATACATATGCAGAATACAAGAATCCTTCTTAAACATACTTCATTCTCTGCGTATGTGAAGTTCATCAGTTTTTATCGGTAAGTAATGGAATTTATTTTATTAAAAAAAAATATTATCATTGCTTTAAATGAAAGTTATCCGTATATTAACATTTTCTTGCTCAGCAGTTATATGAAAATATACTGGTAGTTATATGTAATTATTATTAGTGCATAAAACTGATCAAATGTCGATAATTTTTAAAAGCATTTCAATCAATCGTTGATTAGAGATATACAAACATCAAGTGTTTTATAAGCAGAGCAAGTAGAGGTAAAAGAAGAAAAAAAAAGATAAAGCAAATCTCTAGAATATTTAGCATAAATGCGACATATAAATATAACCATTTCAGTAGAATTCTATTGGCCTAGATTCATTCGTATATATATATATATTAACGAATATTAACGATAAAGTATCTGTACAAAGCAATGAATTTTTTTTTAAAAGTCTTATAATATTTAATAACTAAAGTCTTTAGTTGGCCCTTCAAAGTGTCGAGTCTGAATTAGGGATTCTAGCGGCTCCTTTGAAATATACCACTCATGACGTACTCATATAAATAATTCTAAAACAATTTTCTAATGCTTACTCCACTCATCGACATGTTGTTCAGCTCTTTTCAATATCTAAAGTTAAAAAATTGCAAAATTCCGAGAAGAGCTGATCTTCAATGTGTTTCAGTCATTAAGGCTTCTTATACAGCAAAGACGATAAATTAGAACAAAACGAATAATGATTTAAAAGGAAACAATTGTGTAAATGGATAGCCAAGATTCACTCTAGACGTATAAACTTTTCCTCTCAAGTCATTTGTTTTACGTTACCAATTGAAAAGTTCGGGTATTCGTCATTTTCTTCAACCGCACCTATGATTTAGGTTTTCTTGTGGTTTTATGTTGGCAAAAACATAAATAAAAACAGTTTTCAATATTCATTCATTATTATTATATAAAATTATTAGGAAATTTCCTGACATCTTATCTACGTTATTAGAAATGATTTTATAGATGATCGCTGGCCACCTTTTTTTATTGCATTGTACAGAAATTTTTTTTTATTCTTAGAATGTAATCATTTTTTAATAGCATGTCCATCTTATGCCAGTCAAGTGTTAGTTGATTATTTGATTTTAAACTCCAGCTTGATCGAAGTTAATAATCGTTTCATAAAAAAATGTTGAACTTTTACATAATCAAATCTGATTTAGAAATAATACGTAAAGCGGTGGTATTGCTTGTATAAGTTCTATCTATACCTAGACCTTGAACCTATAGTTCAAGGTCGCAAAGTATTTAGGAATATAAATGGACTAAGTACTGCTGGGCATTAACATGTTTCTGTAGGCTACAGTTTTTTATAGGCCGCACTTTCCTCTTCTTTCTCTAAAAATGTTATTGATCCTCTTAAATACTTTACTAAGCTTCTGAGCACACTACCTTATAGGATCTTGTGTTATTTTTTTTGCTTAATTTGCACGTCCGTTTGCAAGATGTTGTGTCAGTTAAGTAAAAAAGTCTATGCGTCACGTCTCTGCTTCCTTTTTCTACTTCTTGCAATAGTCCAGCTAGTTGTTCAGAAACACGTAAAAGGATTAACAAACTTGATTAATTCGGATCGGATGAGATCTTAAGCCGATCATGCAAAATTTCGATAAAACAATGCGCATGTGCCAGCAGAACCCGTCGAGGTCATTTGTCCAATGTTTTGTCCCACACATAACCCTATCCTATGTGTATTATGATTCAAGAAAAAAAAGTCACAATACAAAAAAGAACAAGCATCTGCTTTCTATTTAGTTCAAATATTGCACAATTTGTGGAACACCCTATACATATATATATATATATATATATATCTTCTTTGAACTATAAAGTATGTCTTTGCTTTTCTCTAAGGAAAGGCTAACGCCAGTGTAAGCTCATCTAAGTTAAGCGGTAGATATAGCATTATGTATATATCTTTGTATGTATCTATATATATTTGTATGTACATGTGGAGAATAAGTTTTTGATGAGAGGAAATAAAACATTTATGAGCGAGAAACGTTGCTAGTAATACATGAAATTATTTAGCGTGAAATCTTTAAAGGTTTATGCGAATTTCCAAAAAAAAAAACATACCTATATACCATGACTCGATTAACTGAAATCATTTTTTGCAACTAATAAGTTCTTTCGAAACCTATTAATTTGTCAGTTTTGTCGAGAGTAGTGCTCTTCATACTTAGGTCTTTTTTTTCTATTTTTTTTTTTTTTTCATTTCATGTACATGTATAGGGTTCTCTGTTAACTTACTTCATTTTCTACAAAAGCTTTGTAAAATTTAGGAAACAATGACTAAACAAACGGCACAACAAATAAAAAAAAGCTCTTAAATCCTTTATTCAATATTCTTTAATTTTTATAACCCTCTGCGAATTTTTCCCATGATTGCTTACACGTTTCCAAAAATTCTCGAAACACCTTAATTGTATGTGACTTACATGCCTTTAATATCCGATTTATGTACATTTTATAAGACTTGCAAAATTCTACCTAAGATGTACTTTAAGAGGATTTAACAAATCGATGGATAGGCGAGAAAGCGAGGCAGAGAGAGAGAGAGAGAGGGAGAGTGAGAGTGCGAGAGAGATAAAAACATTTCAATGTATAAATACATAAGAGATTCGTCGTTTCTTTGCTTTCGATTGTTGTCTTTATGAACTCTCCTTTCCTTTTCCTTTTAATACCCATAACATAAAACTTGCCGCGCTACACATCTGCTTTGTTTAGGTTTTCGGTCTTCGTTGTTCATTTTTCCTCACACTCTTTTCTATCCATGTTTATGGTAAATTATTTATACATGCGTTAGTAAATTCTTGTATGCATCAGAGAGAGATTTGTTTTGTTTGGCAAATTGCTTTTGGGTTATGTTATGTATGTATGTAAAAAAATGTTAAAAAAAAAAAAAAAAAACATATGCAAAGAAACATTTCATACGAAGAATACCTTAACTTCGCTTTCATCTCTCGTTAATGTTTTTAACTTATCACTTTCCCTTTATCTAAAGCTTAAAAAAAAAAAAAAAAAAAAAAAAAATACATGAAATTTTTCTAAAAGATATATACTTACTCGCGCTTGAGCAGCTGCTGTATTTTGCTGATTATTACGATCCCTGCGATTCACTGTTTTTAAACCTTTCAGCAAACGGGCCAATGTTGTGCGCTTTTTATTTTCACGACCTTCTGCTTAGCATATCAGAAATATATCAAAAATACAATCGTTAAAATAAGCGAAAGAAATATGCATTATATATAGCGAGAGAGAGAGAGAGAGAGAGAGAGAGAGAGAGCGAGAGAGAGAGAGAAAGAGAGGAGGGAGTTACTTTTTAAGTCAAAATGACAATTCCCTAGAAAGATATTCAAATGTAAAATTTGTTTCTATTTTTTTCGTTTTTTTTTTTTTTGTTCTTCTCTTAAAATTCTATTAAATTTTTTCAGTCCACAAATCTACAAATAATTTACAAAAAATATTCGAACAATGTGAAACTTTAGTAAAGTGATTGTTGAAACTTACTAATGAGAATTTTTGAATGTAATAACATTTGTAATATCATCATCATCATCATCATCATGAACAGATTGACTGACAAGTGCTTATGCGGGTTTTTTTTGTTTTTATAAAAATATTAATAAAATCTGCCCTTGTTTTCATATTACATTGGTCAACGGTGCACTTTAACAAGTCAAAGTGCATGATACCATCTTCGAGAATGCATAGTATAGTAGTAGAATGCATAATCGCATGAATTCGAATGTAACTCTTATAGAGCTTGAATACCTGCCTTGTTGCTATGAAGGCATTTCGGTGCAATCGGTGTCCGGATGATAAGGAAATCACCATTCAAAAGTTAAATATCTTTGTGTAGAAATGTACACACACACACAAACACACATATACAAACACATAAGATAAGATTTTCGTAATAAATTTGATATTCGAAAATTTTATTGTGATTATTAACAAATTTGAAGCAAAGTCACGAAATCTCTGACAAAGAAATTACGTAATTTTCCCTTTTTGCTCACCCCGGTAGCGATATTACCATCAATTTTGTATGCATTTCGCTTTGATATAAACGTTTACGCGCTTGCAAACTCAAATCTGGGCTAAACAAAATTTTATTCGTGGAAAACCCACTGTTTAGTAAATGTTCCTTTGGGCTAGAGGAGCCACACTCGCACTTTGTCATTTAACTTAGAGCACAAACGTGTTCTTGAGCAGCATAAAACGCTGAATGAATTTAGCTTTTCATCTGAACGCCCTCATGGACGCACAACTCTATCGATTGGCACTATAATCTTATTACATCAATACGATCTCTCTGAAGAGATTTTGAAACGGAAAAGACTCGGATACTCCTCACTATACCTTCTATTTGTATCGGTTTTTCAATCGTTTTGTAAATTTACCGTAAATGGAATTTTTTTTTGTGTTTTTTTTTTTTTTTTCGTTTTTAAATCAAAAAATGTTGCTTTCACTTTTATTTCTCCTCTTCTTTTCTCTCTCATCCCCGATTCTGCTTCCTTTCAGTTATATATATTTACTTATTCACTTCTCCACATATCGATCCCTCTCGCTTTCCATATGAGAATTGATCTTTTTTGTTTTTACATTTTATCTGAGAAATACTTACCCGCATTTGGTGGAAATTCATAAAAGTAGGCTGACCGAGGACTTAAACAGCTAGAAAAGAAAATTGAATAAAATGGGAAATGCGAAGAATTGAATTAATTGAATTAATTGTTTGCTTTATTGCGTTGATTGTTATTTTTGTCGCTGCATACGAAACTTACTTTTGTTGCAGAAAATTTAAATGAGCTGCATTGGGCGGGATTTGTGTTTGCAAATGATGTGGCAGAACTTGATGTTGCAATGTGTGATGTTGTGCTGATAATGCCAGCTGTTGTTGTTGCTGCTGCTGCTGTTGTTGTTGCTGCTGCTGTTGTTGTTGTGGCGGTTGTAAATGCGCTGACTGCACGACAGTAAGTTGCTGATGCTGTTGCTGGCTAATATGCGCCTGCTGTTGTAACGTCTGCTGTTGTATTAATTGTTGCTGTTGCGTTAAAACACCGCGTGCCACTCGCGGTGCAAATACACCATAACCAAAACCATAAATTTCATCTTCTTCTTTGTCGGACAAACAGCTTGAGGGCTTAACGTGGCAACCCATAAGGTAATCAACCCAAAAAAACCAGCGAACGAAAAAGAAAAAGAAAGAATAGGAAAAGATTTGAAAAAAAATGGTTGTAATACGCGAAATATATGTATGTATGTGTGTGTTTGTGTGCTCTGCTTTTTTAAATTCTTCAGTCAAGTTTGATAGCAACACAATCTTTCAAGGTAATATTCGGTTACTACTTAAGGTTAACTTAACGTTGACGATGCGAAGGCCTTAGCCTTAGATGCCTTTTTTGTGATTTTCTCTTTCGAATTTTGCATTTTATTATAAAGCAAACGAGGGGTGGCCAGTTGAGGAATGTATTCTTTCCAGAGAAACACTTAATAAATGAAGAGAAAAAATGTCCAAAAAAAATTAAAAAGAATAAAAAAGAAAGCAAAACATAATAAAAAGAAGAAGAACATTTATTTTCTGCTTTAGTTTCTTTGCTATTCAATGCGCGGCTATGAGATTATGGTTAAAAAGAGAAAATGCTGTTTCAAGTGGCTTCTTTGGCTCAACACCTTGGGGAATAATAAGGACATGCAATCATACACATACAAGTGGACATACACATTCATACACACACACACATATATATATATATATATATATATATATATATATAGTTAATCATACCAACTGGCGGACAACACAAACAAATAAATGGCCAAGTTAACAATGTTGTCAAAGTTTGTTAAGTAGTATAATTTCAAGGGGCTACTTGAGGGCTATTCGCATTAAAATGAAATAGAAAAACAAAAACTAAAATGTAAAGAAAATTATATGAGAAGACAAGAGAGTTATAACGAAGCAACCGTGCACTAGCCAAAGCAGTTAAGCAATTCAGCCTAAATAGGTTAAATAAAAATGCCTACTTCCCCTTGAAAAGGGCGGATTGAAAGTTTGTTTGTTTTTTTGTTTTTTTTTTTTTTCATTAAAAGAAACTCAAGCAACTTAAGTGTATATAAATAAATAAGAAACTCCAAGTCAACTCGAATCGAATCTTAGACACCTGTCGCTACCTAATACATATATATAGCAAAGTGTGTTAGTTCCATATTTGCGGTAGATTTTATTGACAAAAATTTTCTTAAACATATCTTTTGTTTTGTTTTCTTAAATATTTTACTTATATTAGTCTTATCTGTGATCAGATCATATTTAAGTCTATAGTAGAGATTAAAAAAAATTCCAACTTTTCACTCATATTCTACATGTATTTCCATTGGTCAAGGTTAAAAAAAAAAACAGGAATCAACTAAACGGATATATGTGAAGGAAGAAAATTGAAAGATATCCGACTATAATTGAATTAAATTTGAAATTTTAACACTTATTAAGACTTTGCTTAATTCATAAAGTTTCGGTAGCGAAACAAACTTGTTACAAACATTGTTACGAACTGATTGAGACAACTATTATACCTTTCACTTTTCTTACTTGAGTTATATAATAAATAAATGGAAATGTTGTTTTTCCTTTCAAGTAAAAACAACATCATTAAATAGTTAACAAACCATTATAATGAAATAAACAAAACAAAAAAAAAAAAAAAAGAAAGAGAGAAAGGGAAAAATAAAACAGAAAATTTCAAATCAAATGTTTATCATACGCAACGTTATACTTGAGTTGTTTTATTATTTTGCCTACTCTTCCTTTCTGTTACCACTTATGCTTATGCTTAAGCTATTGTAGTAATGTAATGTAAGTTTCTTGTGTTTAGGTTGTTGTTGTTGTTGTTGTTGTTGATTTTGTTGTTGTCGTTGTCGTAGGTTTAAAAGTTTACGGAAATTAAATTTTTCCACATTAATTTGCCTTTTATTTTTTAGTGCTTTTGTTCTCTCTCATTGCATGTGAATATGTTTTTTTCTTTTTTTTTTTTTTATTGTATGCAAAGAGAAAGAGTAAAGAAATCCACAAAGAACTTTATAAATTGTTCAAACAATTTTCTTATTGAAAAGTAAGTTCTCTATCTGTATCTCTCTTCTCGTTCTTCTTCTTTTCTCTTTTTACGTATATTTTTTGTATACATACGCACGTACATATTAAAAATAATTGAAGAAAAAGCTGCCTAAAGGCACGAGAAAAACTGAAAAGAAATATTTTGCAGTTTGTTGTTTAAAAAAAATCATAGAGTGATTCAAAAGTAACCGTTAGGTTGAAGTTATTTTTCATAGTCATCTAGAAGTCTGGTTAAAGTTACTAAATGTTGGGAAATATTTCTTTTGTGGTTAAATGCCTTCTTAGATCTTTTCTCTTTTATCTCTTTCCAACCGGCTTTGATTGTTGGTGTTATCTTTTCGAATCTCTTAAGACTAACACTAAACTAAGTACTGACAATTAAGATTATCGGCTCTTTTTTTCATAAGAGATAACTAATCCTTTCGAATCTATCGATAACTTAGATTAACTTCAAAAAAAGTAGAGAAAATATCACATAATGTTGCGACATTTTAAAGAGTTGGGAAAATTTATTTTCAGTATGAGATAACTAATCCTTTCGATTCTATCTTAGATTAAGGAGAGAATATCTTGAAGAATATTTTGCGACATTTTAAAGGATTGAATAAACTTATTTTCTTGTGCTCACTTGATTGTGCGAAAATATGATTTACATTTTATGAAACACAATTTTTTCGAAATTATTGCATGTAAGGTCATCAATACATTCTATTCATCTTTACTATTTTTAAATATGTAATTGTTTATCCAGTAACATACAAATGATGGGGAAAAAGTTTCCAAGTTTCTTCAACAAATATAATTGACTAAAGTGACACATTCATTGTTCATATATAGATATATATGATTTCATTTTTTTCATGAAAATTGTGTCCAAACTGAAGCTAGATGTGCCAAATTAATGTTAACTGCTGTTAATTCCAACCTACTGACACTGCAATCTACATTGCTTACATTGATTATACCTATAGTACCAGAGAAAGAAAAAATAGCTATATAATGCAATCGATATCATTACACACAGTAATATGATGGTAATGTTGTAAAGAAGTCTTCTTTGCTTTGTAATTATAATTTTATTTCCATCGGGAAAGTCGTAAGAATGTAAATCATAATTTCGGACAAAAGAATGTATGCACATGTATTGGATATGAAATGCCAATAATGTTGTCGTCAATATGTTTAATGAATTTTTCAAGTTTTTTTTTAATAACTTTATTAAATGATGGCAGCCTTTATAGCGATATTTTAGTACTTTATCTATATGATAAATATTGAATCAATACTTTCTCAATTTTTTCATTAATTTACTGATGCGCTGATATAAGTATGAGAAAAGTCTTTAAGGCTTTCCCACACAGCTCATAGTAGGAAATTCCATTCTCCTATAAGGATAAGGCAAAAGTGTTTAGTATTAAACGATACTATCCCGCCGAATACTTGTAAATTTTTGTAATGTTGTTAAAATGATGTGTACCATTCCTGGCAATTCATGGCAATTAAAAGATTTAATTTAATCTTACTGTCTGTTTATGCTTTTTGGTTTTTACAAAATGCTTACAATGATTTGAAAACTTTGTCCGAAATAGCAAAACTTTCTCACAAACTTTATGCCCTTTACATTAAGCTAAGAAATCAGTAAATTATTTGAAAAAGTTCGCGCATAACCCAAAAAAATGTTGTGCGTAATGTATAATGCCGCTGGTGTAATAATATTTTCAATATTTTGTTATTCAGCTCCTTTGGATGCCCTGTTATCTATTGACGTAGATAGTATTTTCATAAGTATTGAACTGTTATATAAGTGCTGCAGCAATATATTGCATAAGTATATGTGTATTGTGTCAGCAAACAGTATCGCGTCACTTAATTATAGAAAATATTGTTTATATATTCCGTAGCATGTTAATGATATTTGTGATGCATTCCGGGCAGCAAAACGTTAGTGGAGAGTATACAAAATTCATTTGGGACAACAAAAATTGTTTATGGATAACGGACATTTCCTCGCAAATAGGCTGCTAATAGTTAACCGATATTCTTGGCAGACAAGAAAAAAAATTGATCACAAATATCGCAGATTCGTTTCGAGCGAACGCTTGCAATAAGTTTGATTAGGTTTAAGTGAGGATATCATCGCGATTAATAATTCTTTTTATTTTTCAAGTAAAATTTTCGGTTTACAAAGTATCTTTTTGATTGAAAAATTTTCAAAATAATAATCGAATAATTTTCGAAGCAACTTTTCAAATTGGATCACTCTGCTAACCTTTACTCTAATGCATCTCACGCTCGCTCGCTCTCTCTTCCTTCCTTTTTTTTTTTTTCGTTTATATATACGGGAGTTTATGGATGTTTGGGTGTGTGTGGGTGTGTGTGTGTGTGCGCTTTTTTAAATGTGTTTACGTATCAAACTCATCTTATATATTACAGGAGAAATGAAAACATAGTGTATGAAATGATTATTACCAAGTCTGGGATGCCATTTCGTTCACTACACATATGCTTGTTGTTGGCGAAAGAAAAGGAAAAAAAAAAAAAAAAAAAAAAAAAAAAACAATAAAGAGTAACAGTAGTCAGTACCTCGTATACATACATATACAAAATGAATATGTAGAAGCGATGCATGGAAATATATAAAAAAGTATAGACACTCACACACATATCTATGTAGATGCTTGCTGCCTGTGTGTATGCAGATATTCATTCGCTTCAGCAACCATGTGCCAATTCGTTATTGCCGTTATTGTTGTTGTTATTTTTTATTGTTGTTATTGTGCCCGTTGTTACTATTGTTGAGTTTATTCATTTGTTCAGTTCCGTTTTTCTTTTTTTCCCTTTTCCACGTTTCTTTTTTTTTTTTATTCACTTTTTTATTCTTTTTTTTTCTTGTTTTTTATTGTCGAGTCAAGTTGTACAAGTATGGAAAACAATTTCGGTTATTTTGTACTTTGTATGTTTTTTTTTTTTTTTGTTTTAGTTTTGTATTTTAACGTTAACAACAACAACGTAAAAGTAAGTACACATGCTTGCATACATAGGTGAACGGTATGAGGAACGTAAACACACATACACACACACACACGGTTGCAAACATACAATATAAAGTACATACTCATTTATGTGTGTATGTTGAGAAATACAAATATGTGAATACATACGTATACAAACTTACATTCATTTACACATATATATGTATATATATTACTGATGCATACATATAAAGAAATAAATGTATACACACCGATATATACATATCCATATATATAAATACATATATGTATATATTTATTATATACTTAGTCATAAAGTAACATGAGTACGAGCGTATTGCTACTCTTTAAAAAGGCTATAAAAAAAAAAAAATAAAAATAAAGAAAATAAGGAAACCCAGGAAAACTAAAAAATAGACATTTACAAAGCATATATGGAAAGTGTACAAAAATAAGATAAACGAATAAACGAGTAAACGAACGTTAACAAACAAACAAATCAACAAACGAACCTTATAATCCCTAAGGCCATGTCAACACAGCGCATTTTGTTTTATTCTTCTTTAAAAAAAAAAAAATGTATATATATATATATATATATATATATATATATATACATACATAACCAATATACATACACACAGACAAAATACAATAACAAAAACTACAGTAAAATTTGAAACGGAATAACTTATTGTTAGATATTTTGTTTTTTCTTTGCCATATTGGGAATCCAAGGAATACACCAATGCACACAAATAGATTCTATGTATAAGTAACCGAAAATTGTTGTTCAATGTCTTCTTTTGCTTTTCATCAGCAACTGCATCATCATCATCATCATCATCATCGCCGTCGTCATCGTCATAATGATGCTTTCTCGCTTAAAAACATTAATAAGAATTTTTATGATGTACTCTGACAGTAGAACAAAATAAAATAAACAAAAAGTCTTGTTCTTTTTTTTTTTTTTTTTGTTTTTGTTCTTATTTCCTATTGATGGCATTTGTAGCAAAATTTAATCAAAAAGCAACAATAACTATCGTACAGCAACAACAGCGACCTTCATTTAAGGCGTCTTCATCATCTATCAATTGGCCCGTGGCTCAATCGACTCAAATACTACGTAGAGTGCGTTTATTGAATTTGTGCGTTGATGCTTGTTCAATGTTCAATGTAATAGTAGTGGTAATAGATAGATGTTACACATTACAAAGATGACAATGATAATAATAATGATGATAATGATGATGATGATGATGATGATGATGATGATGATGATAAAGTCGTACGATAAGCAAACAACAAATTATTGGTATACGTACCGAATATTTTCCTGGCACATAGATCGGTTGACTGTGACTATTGGGTAGACCGCCGCCATGACTGGAATTGCCACGATGGCCGTGATGACGATGATGCGTAGCAATACCACTAACACCGCTACCGCTGCCGCTACTCCCACTGCCGCCGGCCGGATTCATGGGGCTACGCTCAGCCCATGCTGCTTGTCTAGCATTTTCTAAAGCACTTAAAATATCTCCGAAGGGAGCCATTAACAATTCACAATAAACGGATGCCAGACCCTCTAAATGGCCACGTTGTCCATCCTAAAAGCATACAAAGGAGAGAGAAAAGAGATAAAAAAAAAAAAAAACAAAAAAAAGAAAAAAAAGAAGAGAACATACATGTATAGTAGTAGCGAAGTGAAGTGAAGTAAAAAGAAAACGTTACGAACAAACAAATAACAATTGAAACTTCAATAATGTTGCAATCTTAATACTGTTGCTGGTGCTGGTGCTGCTGTTGCCACTTTTTCCTTTCCGTTACTAAGTAACTACAAGTAACTAACACTGCAACCATTACCGCACTAACTATGCTTGCAATGTTTAACTTTTATGGTTGTTTCATGAGCTCTGCTATTGCGAAGGCATGCGATTCAATTGCTTTGTTATGTTCTGCATACACAATATCAGTATTTTGAATCGATATAAAACACTAGACAATAATAATAAGAAGAATGAGAGAAAACGGACTAAAATTCTCCATCTTCCCCCACCTTAAAGTAAACACAAAAAAAAAAAAAAAAAAAAAAGAAATCGAACAGTGAGCGTAATAAAAAACTGTGCAGTATGTATGATGTAAAGCGTGAGATTGAAGATTAAAAATTAGATATGACAACTCATTCCTGGCATAGATAACTAACTAACTAACTATGTAGCTATATACAACTGTGTAGAAAATTACCAAAGTGTTAAGGTGAATGTCATATACCTGCTGCTACGATGTTAAGGGTATTTCAGAGTAGCTGTCATGTAGCTACAGTTTATCATAAAAGAGAATCCATAAAAAAAAATGAAAAAAAGGAAAGAGAAAATCGAAAACACGAGAGAAAAAAAAAGAAGAAGAAAGTAAAAACAGCAAAGTGTGCAAATGTCCAGGGAGCGATTGATAGATCCATACACATGTCTATGCACGCTCTATGAATTCGGTTTTCGGTTATGTTACCACTATTGCTACTACTACTACTACTACTACTACTACCACTACTACTACTACTACTACTTTTAGCGAATGGTTGACATTTGATAGGATCTCTAAGTACGTGCGAATTCCTTTCTATTGATTGCTACCTTATGGGCTGCCTTGTTGGTTGGCCAGTCGTACATAGCTAAAGTCATGATAAATTGATGTCAATTTCTTGGTTGAATGATTTAATTTGTTGCTTGGTTAGTACACGATACTCATGCAAACATTTGTTCGACTGACTATCTCTTTACCTGTAATGGAATATGTTAGAAAAGAAAGCAAAAAAAATAAAAAAAAAAATAAACAAATAAATGAATAAATGAAAGCGATTGCCTAACCCGCGTTATAAAGGTTTCAAAAATTTAAGCATCATCAGCAAGTTTTAAATTGCGGTTTGAATTCAATTTGATGGATCAATTTCAACGAAAATTTCTATTTCTATCATTTACAAATTTTTTATTTATTTTTTAAAGTCTGGTTAAAATTATTTTGCTTTTTTTTCTTTATTTTTTTTTTTAACAGAACAACTTTCCTAATAAATACATTTTTGGGCATAGCCTCCTCGCAGTGAAATAAGTTTATCAATGAGCCGCACAAAAAATAAATCTTAAGCAAATAATTGCTGGTCTTAAAGCAAATTTTTTTTTCACATTAAAATGATACACTTGCACTAACTGCACTACAGAATAACCTACACTATACATAAGTACACTATACAACTAATTTTTCAAAGCTAAATCATTATTAATAATCAATTTTTTACTTTACCGAATTGTAATGAATACGTTCTAAGACCGATTAAGAGAATGCTACAATATGATCCTTCAAATTGTGTTGGCTATCGTCTTTTACTCGTTTACACTGCGCGAGATATATAACACGTCGGAATTCTCCCACCAAGCCACTGCGATCTTTCATCTGCAAATGTTTTTAACATCCTCCTTGTCCTTTAAAATGTCGTGTGGTTCGTGTCTAACTCCTGCGTGCGATATTAAAATTGATACTAAAATACTCAAGTATCCCAACAAAAATTGCATCTGCACAGTTCTCCATAGTTGCGCAAATTTTTCCGGTAAAGAATTTATTTATCGAATTTTTTTGTGACATTTTACCCTTCTATCTTAACCATGTCACTACTAATGTTAATTAACATTTTAGGAGACGAAAATTGCACAATAATTACATTCGATTCTAATCGAAGTCAAGCTGAACTCTAACGCCTTTAAAGATGGATCGCAGCGGTATATTGAATAGATCCATATCAGTAGCGATTGGTCGTTCAAACCAAGGCGATCCTCTCTGTATAGAGATTTCAGCGGCAAAATTTCGCTAAATATTGTACTTTCTTCTCTTCTTTTCTCTTCAGCATTTTCTTCTATGCATTAACAATTTTTCTATTATTTTGCTAAGCTTTTATTTCCAAAAAGTTGTCCTGTCGCTAAAATTTTGGAAAGAACAGTCAATATCTATACAAGCTTTCATTTGCTTTATATTAATAGCGGGTGGTTGACTGGAGCAAGCGAGCGCTAAAAGGTTCAAAAAAAAAACCCTTGCTCTTTGTATACGCGGGTTACTTTTTTCTGAGACAGTCTTGTTTTTTCACAATCCAAGTGAAAATCGGCTTTGAGGGAAATCTCTCCCAGAATTTTTTTAAAGTGGAAAGAAATATTTGTAAAAAATTTTTCCCTTATTGGCTTAAGTGATTTTTTCAATAGTCAATGATTGTGGGCGTCCACTCATACTATTTGCACAACTTCAAAAATGTGGCCTTAGAGGCCGTATCAAGTATCCTTGATTAGCGCGAAATTCTGAATCGATTAAGCCATCTTTGTGTGTCTTTGTGTCTATGTGTTGTTGACGGGCACTCTCCTGGTCGTAACAATGAAGAGATTGACTACAAATTTCGTAAAAATTTCTGCACAAAAGTTGATAATAGAAATGGGCCAAATTGATTAGAGCACACGCCGGCAGCAAAACGTAAAGAGAACACAACTTCTTTACTAACTGGAGCATCTAAGCAAAAAAGAAATTCTCTGACTTAAGAAACTCTTGGACCTTATTATCTTGAGATAGAATCTAGTTTAGTTAGAATTACGATAGCCATGATAAGAACGCAATTTATTGAAAATTTATGCAATTTATTAGAAAACAAAGTCTATATGTACATATCAATCATATTAAATCAATTCAGTCACGCCATAACATACAACGTAAATTTTTCTCACCTCATAGAGAGCGTTTGAAGTCTTTTATTGAGTCTATGTGTAATTCCTTAGTAAAGACGAGTGTTCGCAAACTATCTTCTTCTTCTTTTTTTTTTTTTTTGGTACCATTATAGAAACTAAGAGAAGTGTTCAAAAAGATGTGAATGCTAAAATGTACGCCAACACTTCAAAAGAGTGCTCGGAACGGACCTATAGACGATTAGATTATTTTGGTAGCCATTGGCATTTACTTGCGCTACATATTGCTGTGTTGACAACCAACAAGGCATGTAAAGGTTTTTCCTTTTCTTTAACCAGCCAATGTCCATGGAACCCTGATAATAATCCGTAAGGATTGTAGGGGATATATTATAAGTGATCGTATAAAGCAAAATCAATTAGCAAAATGTTGTTGCATAGATTTTACTCGATTTCTATCAGCTGATGATAACTAAATGATTGGAATGATCAAGTATAACCTCAGTCAACTTATTGACGCAATCAACTCATATTGTAATTAAAAGTTATTCGCCTTTTTGTTGCGGACATATGCACAGACTGAATGTTTGTAGTGCGATAAAATTGGTGTGAGATTTTATACCACAATCAATAAAAGTAATTGTGCATTTATATAATGTAGAAATGTTTACAAACGCTTACATACAAGCATACATATGTATGCAGACTATATTGTATAGCTAGCTACACAAGTGATTTGATGCGCACCTAAACTAATAATTAACTAAACCGACATCAATTAACGTAAACACTTAAATGATTGTGTGTTCTTCCCTCTATTCATTATATATACTTTTATATTTTTTTTTTTAATATGCACGGTTACACGCACGACTATGCACATATATAGAAAGTATGTATATGTTTATATATAGATATTTTTCACAATTACTGGACAATGACAGAATGCTTTATGTTTTATGATTCGATTCATTAACCCGTCCGTCCTCTCATCATATATATATATATATATATATATATGTATGTATGTATTTATCCACGCTTGAATGGTTAATGATGATGGTGGTTGTGTTGGCGGTGATTGTGGTGATGGTGGTAAGAATATGAAGCGTTAGTCTTTACGCTAATGACGAGGATGGTATGATGGTTGATGGTGTTGGTGATCGTTTTTATAAATATTAACAATATTCTGCTTTTTAATGGAAATAATTTTGCTTTTATGTTATGTATATTAAAAAAATAAAAAAACAGACATAAACACACGACACTATAGTAGTATACCGAACATTATGCTAAACTCTCGCATTTAGTTAACGAGCTACCATTGTACAGCATAAAAGGATTATTAACAAATCAGTGACTTTCGTTTTGTGTGTAAGCTGCAGCTCAACCGCTTTTATGAATATATTGTCAACGACAAAAGGCATAATAAAGTCATCGTTACTACACAAGTGAATATATATATATATATATATATATAAATCGTTATAGATACACATTAAATTGTGCCTGTGTGGGTGTTGTTTTACTTTATGATGTACATAAAGCAAAAAAAACAACTGGGGGAAAAAGCGTTAAAAACACATAGTCAGCTGCAATTTTTGATATTTTGTTTACTTAAATTAAAAATTTGAAAAAAAGCAAAAAAAAAGAAAGCAGAAGAAGTCTCCTCAGAATTTTCTTGCCTTTTAAGGAAAAATTTTCTCTTTTTTCTTGAAAGCTTCTTTAACAGTAGAAGCAAATTTTCAAACCATCCATATCCATACATAACTTTAACGAAAAAATATATTCATTAAAGCCTTAAGGCATTTCGTTATTTTCCATTTAAATCCTGTATAATACAAATACAAAAGCAACTAGAACCCTCACGTACCGAAAAACACCCAGCAAAATTGTGG